AATTAAAAAATACATTAAAAACTTCTGGAAAAGGGGTGCCTGGGTAGTTCAGTCGGTTGAGCATCCAACTTCAGCTCAGGTGATGATCTTGCAGTTCATGAGTTTGAGCCCCACGTCAGGCTCTGTGCTGTCAGCCCAGAGCCTGCTTCAGATCCTGTCCCTCTCTCTCTCTCTCTGCCCCTCCACTATTCGTGCTTGCTCACTCTCTCACTCTCTTTCTAAAAAATAAATAAAACGTTAAAAAAAACTTTCAGAGAAGCTTTTAAGCCTGTTCCCTGTACATCGTGACTGCATTTCATTTCTGAAAAATGACATAGTGTGATGAAATGGTGAGTACAGGTTGAGACTACGATCTGTTTACAGTTGGCATGTGTCCTTTACAGAATTCTGCAGCATCACTGCAATAATTTAGAAAGGCTTAAGAGTTTGAATGTTGATTCTTTACATTGGTATGACTGCTTCAGACCTGCAAAATAGTTTTACATTTAATTGCTTGTTTAGGACTTCTTTGTTTTTGTTTTTTTTTTTTAATTTTTTTTAACATACATTTATTTTTGAGATAGAGAGAGAGCATGAACAGGGGAGGGTCAGAGAAAGAGGGAGACACAAAATCTGAAACAGGCTCCAGGCTCTGAGCTGTCAGCACAGAGCCTGATGCGGGGCTCGAACCCACGGACCGCGAGATCATGACCTGAGCTGAAGTCGGATGCTTAACCGACTGAGCCACCCAGGTGCCCCTGTTTAGGACTTCTTTGAAACCAAGATCATGATGTTATCGAAGACAGGGAAATAGAACCTTAGAAAAAGAATATTAACCCTCATTTTGCAGTAGTTTGCTACATCTACATGTACTATCCCATTTGTTCCTTTTATTTTTCACACCACTCTGGTTGTATATGATGGTAATGACATGAAGGATTTTCTTTCCTGGGTACCAAAACTCAACCTCATCTTTTTTTGTTTTTAAAGTTTGTTTATTTAAGTAATCTCTACACCCAATGTGGGGCTCGAACTCATGACCCAGAGATCAAGAGTCACATGCTCCACCGACTGAGCCAGCCAGGCACCCTCAACCTCATCTTTTGACCTTAAATCTTGTTTTCCTACTACATTCTTTTTTTTTTTTAAGTTTTTATTTATTTATTTATTTATTTTCGAGAGAGAGAGAGAGAGAG